TTCGGACCCTGCTCGTCCGCCTCTGGTCGGTCATCCAGCTCCCTTCCCTCCATCCTTACTCTGTTTACCCATGCCCCCTAACCCTGACTTCGCTGATCCTGATCCTGCGCTTCTTTAACGTGCTGTGTTCCTTTTTCCCCTTTGTTTCTTCATAGTCCTCTGTTGCTGTCCTTTCTCTTCTTGTCGATGTCTATTCTTCAATGGAATATTCGCGGATATTACACCAATTTCCATGAACTCCAACTTCTGATTTCACAGTTTTCGCCCCTTTGTGTCTGTCTCCAGGAGCCGATGCTTGGTGCTCGTCCTGGTCGCTTCCGTGGCTATTCCTTTCTCTTCCCCCCTCCCCCGGCTTTTACTGGGGCCCGTTCCTCTCCTGCTCTCTTGATTCGTTCTGAAGTTCCCTTCGTCCCCTTACTTTTTCCGTCGCCTCTCCAATGTTCTGCTGCACGTGTCTTTGTGCGTAAATTGTACACGGTTTGTTCCATTTACCTCCCCCCGAATGTCCCGCTTTCTCTTCCCGATCTTAAACACCTACTGGACTCTTTGCCGGAGCCTGTGCTCGTGCTGGGTGATTTTAATTGTCGACATACCCTTTGGAGTGATGTTCTGACAAACACCCGGGGTCGCCTTCTTGAACCGTTCATCCTCTCTTCTTCCCTGTCTCTTCTGAATTCCGGTGAGCCCACTCATTTGGACTCTTGGACTCGCACCCTTTCCTGTCTTGATCTTTCTCTCTGCTCGTCGTCTCTTTACTTGGATTTCACGTGGCAAGTTCTTGATGACCTCCATGGTAGTGACCATTTCCTCATCCTTGTTACCTTTTTCTCTTTTCACCCTTCCCTCTCCTTCCCTAGGTGGCAGTTTGCTAAGGCAGACTGGAACCTATTTACCCTCCGTGCCGCTCTCTCTGACCTCTCCATTCTGCCTCTCCTTCGCACCCTCCTACTTTTTCATGACACCATCTTCGACGCTGCTCTCCGCTCTATTCCTCGCTCTTCCTCTCGGGAACCACGGAAGTGCGTTCCCTGGTGGAATGTTGACTGTGCTCGGGCTGTCCGCAGTAAGCGTGCAGCCTGGAAGAGACACCGCCGCCGGCAGACGGCTGATTCTTTTCTTTTGTTTCGGAAGGCGGGTGCGATGGCCCGTAGGGCCATCCGTACACCTAAGCGTGCATGTTGGAAGTCGTATGTTTCCACCATTACGTCCGAAACTCCTCTGCCGCAGATCTGGAAGCGTGTCCACAAGATAGCGGATAAGTTCGTTCCCGATGTCTCGAACTGGGTTCCCACTTTTCTTCTGTTAGCTCTGGTTCTCATCTTCCTCAATCTTTCCTTCGTAAACCTGTCCTTGAATCTCGTCCTCTGGATTTCTGCACTCATCTCAGACTTCCCTATAATGATCCCTTCTCTCTCTCTCTGAATTTCAGTCTGCCCTGGTCCTCTACGGTTCTTCAGCGGCGGGCTCCGATGGCATTCATTATAAGATGCTTCACCATCTCCCTCCGTGCACGTCTCAGTATTTACTGAGTCTGTATAATCAGGTTTGACAGTCGTCGTCAGTCCCTGAGGACTGGCTCGATGCCGTTATCCTCCCTGTTCGGAAACCAGGGTCTCTTGGGACATCCCCTAAGGACTTTCGCCCTATTGCTCTCATGAGTTGTGTCTGCAAACTCTTTGAACGTATGGTCAACGTTTGTCTGAGGTGGTTCTTAGAACACTATCACCTCCTCTACCCTTCTCAATATGGTTTTCGAAAGTGCCGCAGCACAACAGATGTCCTGGTGAACTAGGAGGCTTTGGCAGCGAAGACATCCGTTGTTGCCGTCCTTTTTTACCTGGGAAAGGCTTATGACACCACTTGGCAATATCATATTCTGTCCCAACTTCATTCTTTTGGCCTTCGTGGTAATCTCCCTATCTTTCTCCAAAGCTTCCTCTCTCGTCGTTTCTTTCGAGTCAGGCTTAGTACCACTCTTTCTGCCTCTTTTCAGCAATACGAGGATGTGCCCCAAGGTAGTGTTCTGAGCACTACTCTTTTTATCTGGTTGCCCTCAATGGTCTTCTTTCTCCTCTTCCTTCTGACGTCTTCTCCACTCTCTATGTCGACGATCTTACCCTTTGCTGTCGGGGTGATAATTCGCCTCTCCTTGAACGGCGGCTTCAACATGCGATTGATGCCGTGTCGTCTTGGGCCACCGACCATGGCTTCCGGTTCTCTTCGTCTAATACTAGTGCTATGATTTTTACTCGGAAGCGTGTCGTTCTTCGTCCCTCTTTGTCGCTTTATGGTCAACCCCTTGTGTACAAGGATTCCGCGAAGCTTTTGGGGTTAATCTTTGACACTCGTTTGTCTTGGTCGGCCCATATCTTTTACCTACGAGTTTAATGCTCTAAGGCCCTTATCTTCCTTAAGGTTTTGTCCCTATACTTCTTGGGGAGAGGATAGGCGCACTCTCCTCGCTTTACATTCCTCTCTCGTCCTGTCTAAACTCGATTATGGCTGCCCTGCTTACTCATCTGCTACTCCTTCTACTCTTCGCTGTCTTGATGCTTTGCACTATACTGGGTTGTGCCTCAGCTCTGGTACCTTTTGTTCGACTCCCGTCCTCAGTTTGTATGTTGACACTGGCTTCCTATCTCTCCGGGACCGCCGTGATCGCTACTGTCTTCGCTATCTTGCACGGTCCTTGCAACATCCTTCCTCTCGCCTCTGTCGTGCTTTAACTTTTACCTCTCCTGCTGTTCCTGTTCCTCTTCACCGCCTCCCTCTTTCTGCCAAGTTATCTCGCTTACAGAATTCTCTTTCAGTTCGAATTTCTAATGTATCTCCTCGTGTTGTTCCTTCCCTGACCCCGTGGAGAGTCTCCACTTTCGAAGTTTTGTACATCCTTAACCCGCATCACTAAAGCTTTTACCCCTCCTACGGTTCTGAAACGCCTTTTCCTTGAGCACTTTTCTTCGCACTCCTGCTCCGTTTCCATCTTTACCGATGGGTCTAAGTCTGCGGACGGTGTTGGCTACTGTGTTGCTTTTCCTGACAGCACTTATATGTGTCGCCTACCTCCGGAGATTAGTATCTTCATAGCGGAACTTTATGCTATTCTCTATGCTCTTCGTCTCCTGCTTTCTCGTTGTCAATCTTCCTTTGTAGTTGCCGTTGACTCTCGTAGTGCCCTCATGGGTCTCGGGTCCTTTAATCCGGTCCATCCAGTGGTTGCCGAGATTCAGCATTGACTGTTTCTTATTTCCAGTAAATTTAAGTCAGTTGAGTTTTGCTGCGTTCCCAGCCATATTGGTGTGTCTTTAAATAAGCGTGCGGACGCTGACGCTAAGGAAGCTGTCCGGTCTTTTCCCATCTCCCGTAAAGGTATTCCTTATTCCGACTTTTACCCAGTTATTCATTCCTCTATTCTTACCCGTTGGTGGGATTTTTGGTCTTCTATTACTGAGAACAAACTGCGTACTCTTAAGATTAGTGTGTCCCTGTGGCCGTCTTCCTACCACCGTAACCGGCGAAGGAATACGGCTCTGGCGAGGTTGCTTATTGCCCATACACGCTTAACTCATGGTCACTTAATGGAGCGCCGACCCGCTCCTTATTGTCAAAATTGCATTGTCCCTCTTACGGTCGTGCATATCCTTGTTGAATGTCCTGACTTCCGGGATGAACGTGTTATACTTCCCGACCGTCCCTCACGGTCACTTGTCCTTCGATAGAATTCTTGGTGAAACGAATAGCTTTGATATCGTTCGCCTTATTCGTTTATATGTTCTCATATTGACATCCTTAGTGATATTTAGTGCCCTATGAATATCCCGCACATTTGATGGTGTCTTCTTTTGATTTATTTGTTCTAGATGTCTCACCAGTCCTTCACCTTCGTTGTTCTATTGTGGCGGATCCAGTGAAGGTTGCGACCGAACTGGGTTCACACTTTTCGACTGTTAGCTCCGGTTCTCATCTTCCTCCATCTTTCCTTATTCATCTGCCCCTTCTTGAATTTTGTTCCTTAGATTTTTGCACGCATCTCCAGTTTCCCTATAACGATGTCTTCTCTCTCTCTGAACTCCAGCCTGCCCTGACCCTCTACATGCCCTCTACGGGGTCTGAAAGCTGGGTGGACAGCACTTTTTTTTTTTTTTTTTTTTTTTTTTTTTTGAGATATATACAAGAGTTGTTACATTCTTGTACAGCCACTAGTACGCGTAGCGTTTCGGGCAAGTCCTTAATCCTATGGTCCCTGGAATACGATCCCCTGCCGCGAAGAATCGTTTTTTCATCCAAGTACACATTTTACTGTTGCGTTAAACAGAGGCTACAGTTAAGAAATTGCGCCAAGTAAATCCTCCCCGGCCAGGATACGAACCCATGACATAGCGCTCGCGGAACGCCAGGCGAGTGTCTTACCACTACACCACGGAGACTGTTCGAATTCATAGACCTGAGGTTCCGGGTTCGATCCCTGGTGGAGGCGAAAACATATGGGCAAAGTTTCAGATCTTTGTTTCATTTTTATCTTTGTTTCTGATCAGAGTTTCACCCTGATGCCCCTGTTCACCTAGCAGTAAATAGGTACCTGGGAGTTAGACAGCTGCTACGGGCTGCTTCATGGGGGTGTGTAACAAAAAGGAGACCTGGTCGAGGGAACGCTAAGCCCCGAAATCATCTCAAGATAACTCAAGATAACGGTTCTATGTTCCCTCCCTTTTGGCTGAGGACTTGTGTGCTCGTGGCCAGCTGGCTTCGGTCTTGCAACCAGTGACGGATGGGTACCGCAGCCAGTGCCGGATGGGTACCGCAGCCAGTGACGGATGGGTACCGCAGCCAGTGACAGATGGGTCCCGCAGCCAGTGACAGATGGGTCCCGTAGCCAGTGACGGATGGGTCCCTCAGCCAGTGACGGATGGGTGCCGCAGTCAGTGACAGATGGGTGCCGCAGCCAGTGACGGATGGGTACCGTACCTATGCAGTGAGAGATGGGTGCCGCAGCCAGTGACAGATGAGTACCGCAACCATTGACAGATGTGTCCCACAGCCAGTGACGGATGGGTCCCGCAGCCAGTGACGGATGGGTCCCGCAGCCAGTGACGGACGGGTGCCGCAGCCAGTGACGGACGGGTCCCGCAGCCAGTGGTCGCTGGGAAGGGGTTGAGCGCCGTAGAGGAGTGTGTGGCGGCCAGTGTGTGTTGGGGCCTGTGTGAGGTCACAAGCCAGGCGCTGCCTCCTCCTCCTCCTGTGTCATGTGAGTCACCGCAAGCTTCACGTTACTCAGTAACCTGCAAGTTAAGGTCCTTCCTTTACCACAGGTGTGGCGAGGTGTTGTGTGGGCCGTGTGTGCATCTGCCACACTCTCTCTTGTACATTATAATTACTGCTAACACGTATGCATTGCTTCTCGCTTCTTGTCGTATTGAGAATGTCAGATTTATTTTAGGATTATCGCTGCTCATCATCATTCTTTTCTGCCTGAAACACTATGGTGGCGTTGTACCTTCTTGTGAATAAATTATTATTGGTGTTACATAGTGCTGACTGGATACCCTCAGAGAGCACTGTTATATTATTGTAGGCCCTATTTATTTATATAATTATATTTGCAGCCATGTGCTATATTAATGATTATTGTATGCATATTCCTGGATTGTTGTAAAACCTTATGAAATTTCTTCATAAAAAAAAAGCATATCAAAATTGTTATTGTTGATGTTATTGGGTTAGGGGCAGCTAGAGCGCTGGGCCATATGTACCCTCATTAATCTAGGCAGTGTTCCCTGTGTGGGGTGGGGCCAGTGCTTGTCACCCTGAGGGACTCTTGGGGCTCCCCAATCATCTGCCTGTCTGCATTTCTTTGCCACATGGCATATTAGTTTCCAGTGATTGGCTTCACTTGTTTCGCGATTTGGCTTGGAGTTTCGCCTTTCCAGGCTTCACGATTAACCCTTACTGGGTACACCGGGGCGCATCCGATCCCACGATCGTCGTCGCCCCTAAATCAACAACAACAAAAAATCCAGGCATAGCTGGAGGGTCCCAAAGAACCAGCTGGGCACCCTAGGTGTGTGGGTTAGATGGGTTACAGACTTGTATGGGTAGTCTAGAGGAAGTGAAACATGAAGCACAGGGAGTCGGAACGCAAGTCCTTTTCTAGGCTATGGTCATTGAGGAGAATGGGAAGTATCAGGCAAGAACTCTGAATGTAGAACAAGTAGCTGCAGAGACATGCTCGAGCAGATTGGAACTGGGGACGATGTAGCATGAAATGTTCAACTGCTTCCTGAATCAGATTTCACTGGCAGTCCAGCAAGTCCAAAATGCCCAGGCGATGGAGATAAACTGCAAGTCTTGTATGCCCAATCTGGAGCCGAGTGATGTAGGAATCTAGACATTGGTCCTGATGCCTGGCCCCAAGGGCTAGTGGCGGCAGAAGTGCCAATGTGTGCAAGATGGGATGACTGCAACCGAGGCTGAAGCTGCCTACGCCACATTGCTACAAAAGCCTGATGGAGTTAATGAAAAGAGTCTTGGAGTTATACAGGCAGCATCTCGAGGAGGGCCCCATATCAGAATTAGTTATCTGTATTGATCAGCTCAACCTTATTCATTGTCCATTATTCTTTAGATCCGAGTATTTTCCAGGGCCTCATGAGATGTTTGGATATATTTCCGTATACCTGATGTTTGTTCATCTAGCAGTAAACCAGGAGATAGGTAACTGATGATAAGGCTTAATGACATCATACAGTACTTGTGCTAGGTGAACAGATGCGTCAGGTGTAAAGAAATTTGCCCAAAAGTCATTTCTTATCCGGGAGTCAAACCACAGACCATTCGATTGTAAATCGACTGTGTTAATCACTACACTTTCTAGTCTTGTATATGTTATTATTATAATTTTTCCCTCTTTCTTGACATTAGGGGGCATTAGCCCAGAGGTAAAAGGTGAATAATATTGCAAGTAAAAGTTATAGGTATTAAATAATAATATATTAAAAATTTCACTTCCAATCATTATAGTATTGGGAATATGTAGTAACATAGATAAACAAGAACCACCACAGTTAAGTCATCCAAAGCAGTAACTCACCACTGCATGAGAACAGTGTGACTTGTGAATTGTCATGTGCATTATAATCAAATGCTGTACATTCACTTCCTTTTTATAACCAAGGCTCTAATGTGATAAAATTCAGTTACCCTTCTTTTGATCACATTTTTGTGGATTACTTGGAATGTTCTTGGAATAGAGGGGCAGACATAACCTCAAGGCTATTGGGAGATATCTATGATACAGAAGCCCTAATGCAATTTCTAAAGGACTCACAAATTTGTTATGAATTCTGAACAGAACACAGGTCAATGTTTTATACTGTATTACAGTACTGTATGTACCGTATTTACCATATTTTTACCATAAACCTTTTTCATATCCTTCATCAGTCTTATTAAAAAGTAATAATACACTCAATGACTACTGGTCCAAGTGTTGGGTTGCAGCCAATATGTCAGTCATCCATTCCCATTTCCAAGCATGTAATCTGCATTTTATAATGTACAGTGCCTAAGCCTTGTAAGGGGCCTTGGCTTGAATCATGGGTAGGGTGGGGCAGAGTTCATTCACTCCATCTGCCCTTGTGCATGCAACAAGTATTGTGTTGGAGATTATGTTCTGGCGACAAAATACTAGTTAGCATAAGTACTATTTAAAATGAGTTGAAGTAGGAAAGGGCTCTTGACCTGAACAAATGCAATACAGTACAGTATAAGGATTGAAGTTACCATTCCTATTCCTGTACCCTTCCTGTGTTAATCTAGTTGGAAAAATATATCTGTGTTATCTTGGTACTGCTTTTGAGAGTAGAGTATAGTAAGGCTATCTTTTAATATATTTTGGTACCTTACCTTGAGGTGCTTCCGGGGCTTAGCGTCCCCGCGGCCCGGTTGTCGACCAGGCCTCCTGGATTTAAACCCAAGTAAATTTAAACCCAAGTGTATTCAGATGAGTTTATGCACATAAATCAAACATTTACAGAAAGACACTTTAGAGTTAACCTTGTTAAATTTTAATTTCTCAGCTCATTTGGTTAACCATTTCAGGATTAGAAGTTCCAGAACCATCTAGCTGCATGGTTTAGTGTGTGAACCCAGGATTTAAAGGGTTCAAAATGTTTTCGGCCTTGCGTAAATTAACGGGTCGGGGTCCTGATAGCCCTGGGAATCCCACCTCACCCCCTGGGATGCAGGCCATGGCAGCATCATTGCAACGGAGATTTGCTCGTGGTGTCCAGTACAACAGTAAGTGTTGAATATTAATCTTGATTAAAATATTTGTCGTACAATTCTGTACAGTATATCACATAAACATTTCCTAGTTTTATATCAGTGTGACTTATGGAGAACATAATTGTTTAAGAATGATTTAATTAGAGCATACAGTACTTTAACTCTTTCTTATTTTGTAGCTGATTTACATAGATATGAGCAGGCCAGTAGGCTACAGCTATGGTCATGCACATATATACTGTAGATACATATACAATATGCACCATACATGAACATTTGCACTGTACTGTACATTCACGTTTGCACCGAGGACTGGCTCAACAAATATTGAGAGGGGCTAGAGATGTAAAAATCATTAAATAAAACCAATATAGGACTAGATGTAATACACAAACCACAACACAGTAGTAAGAAGGAAAGAGGAAATAAAGTTTGTGAAGTAAATTGTAAACAACTGCAAATGAAACTCGGAATAACCTAAAATATAATTTTTCAAAAGTAAACTACTGTACATGTGAAGAATAAAATTCAGAGTTTAGGAATGAGGAATCTATATACAGTATATAGACACAAAAAGGAAATGTGTGACACTCAACATTTTTGGTGCAAAACCTAAAGTACCTAGAGTAGATGTTTTATAGGCACAGTTAAAAAAAAAAAAATTGTACATGGATTTGGGCAGAAACAATGCAGTACAGTAGCTCTAGATGGGATATCATTTTATGCCTGAAACAATGTGTTGTGTATTAGTGGCCTTAGGTGATGTACCTGCCTACCCATTAATCCAACAATCTCCTTATATCCTCTGTAATTACCAAAGTGTAATTACACATGTAGTTACAGGATGAGAGCTACGCTCATGGTGTCCCGTCTTCTCATTACTCTTCGTCATATAACATTTTGAAACTACTGTACTGACAGTTTTGGCCTCCACCATCTTCTCACTTAACTTGTTCCAACTGGTTACCACTCTGTAATGTATATATGTACCAAAATAATTTTTCTGGGGGGAGCCCCGTCGGCTCCCCGGAGCTATCCCAGGCTGATATGCTAATGTCAGACTTTGGCATCAGTCATGTGTATGGAGTTCTTAGGCCTACCGGGGACCACGGCCAGAACCGGGCCCCCTCAGAGAGGCAAGGGGAGCAATGGCCTATAGAAGCCCCCGTGTAGTTGGAAGCATTCTATGTCTGCCATCGACCGGAACAGGCACCCAGAAAGGTAAGCGCCCCAAAACAAACCCCTATTCTGGTTAAAATTGCTACCTAATACCGAACTAGTGGATAGAACTCCCCAACCGAAAACAAGCAAATTAGTGTGACGTCACACACTGCCGCGCCGCTGTCTGCGCAGCTCCCCCCTCCCCGGGAGGGGGAAGGGGGAGCCCCAGACCCCCCGCGCCGGCTACCCACACCTCAGTTCTTGAGGCTGATGCTATAGGCGATGGTCGTGTGCTCTGGCTCCGGTGTCGCTACTGCACTGTGCTTTGAGTGTGGTGTTAGTTTTGTGGGTGCGAGAGCCAGGAGTTATCTTCAGTACTCGGGCTGCATGCGCCTAGGGCTGCCTTCCCTAGGTGCCCTGTAAGTACTGCCCTTGGGGCTTGGGGCCACCTTCCACAGGCTCCTCGGGGTCTGCCTCTGCTGGTCCGTTTTACCTTTCGGTTTTTCGGCCGCCTGTTGGGCTCTTGGGTGTTCTGTTCTCCCTTGTTACCGGCAGGTAAGAGGCAGTTTGCACTGGTAGGGGCGCAGGGTGCTGCTCAGCTTGTAATTCCCGACATCGCGGCCGGCTCTGTTCCTTGGGGTTCGCTGTCCTCTTGCGGGGTTTTGTTTTTCTTTTTGTTTTTGCCTGGTGGGGGGTTCTGTCATTTTATTCAGTTTGTTTTTGCCCTTCCACTGTTCTCCTCGGTGGCGCCCCCTGCTAGGTCCCCGTGAGTGTACACGTCCCTGGGGTTCAGCTTTAGAAGTTTGCTTGGTAGTTTTGGGCGCCGGTTTGCAGCACCCTGCCTGGGACTACCTGAGCGCGAGTCCTCTTAAAGTAAACGCTCAGGACCCTGGGAATCCCCTAGGGGGCGCGTGGGTCCGATGGATGTGACCCCGGGGTCCCCACTCGCTGTGTGCGAGTTTGAGGGTTGCTCGGTCCCCTTGTCTCAGGGTGACCCTCATTGTTTTTGCCTCTGCCACGCTGCCTGTTGGGTCGGTGATACTTTCGACCCTGAGTCCTGTGAGTGTTGCTGCTTGCTTGTGACTCAATTTACCCAATCCTCTGATGATTCTATTCGGGTACAGGCGGCACGTGCGTTGCAGTCTAGGTTTCGTCTGTTGCAACGCGCTCGGTTGGTTGCTTCCCCGGATGCCCCGGGGCTGCCCCGCTTTGCTTTTCGAGACCCGGACTTGGGGGTGGGGGTCGCTTCGATCCTGGTTCAGTCCGCACCTCCTCGTCCTTCCCCTTCTGTTCGTTCTGGTCCCCCGCCCCTGCTTCCGGCCCCGAAGCGTCTGAGGGTTTCGGGGTCGGAGCAGGGGTTACTTGATCTCGAGACTCGGGCAGCTTCGGGGGTTGCCCCTTCCGGGGGGGCGGCAGAGGCATTCGAGTCTTGTCTCCCGGCCGAAGCTTCAGGGTCTGACCAGTGGGCCCCCCTTCCTCCAGCTTTTCCGGCTGCTCCGTCCTTGTCTTGTGGGGTCGGGGCTTGGGGAGAGGACTCGGCCTCGGGTCCTGTGGTGACGGACCTCGAGGCTGGGGAGGGGCTGACTTGGGGGCCTTGGGCCCCGCTGGACCCCGCCTGGGTTTTTCTTCCCACTGAGCGGGGCTTATTGTTACAAGGAGTGGGGTTTTCTTTCCCCCCCTCTGCGTACGAGTTGGATTTGGTGTCGGCCCCTCCCTGGGTACGGTTCCGTGTTCCCCCGGGTACGTCGGTTCCGTCCTTCCGGAGGTTTTCGGCTTATCGCATCCAACCTGGTGTGGTGCGAGCGGCCTTTGCAGCTTACCTCCTGCGTGACCCGGATTATGCCTCGGAAATGGATCCGTCCACGTTCAGGTTTGGGACTTCGTTCCCTTTCTGGCTCCGTTACGAGGTTCCGGAGTCATCCTGGCTAGCAGACTGCCCCTTGTTTGGTCTGGATTCCTGGCATTCCTTCTGTCGTTCCCGCACGCTGGAGTGGCGGGAAGCTTCCACGGTGCTTCAGGTTTTCCTGGGGGGTGAACTTGAGTACCTGAATGAGTGCTTGTTTGCCCCTGCCCTTCCCCGCGATGTGGGCGTTATTCAGCTCCATGTGCAGGTTCCCTCCCTTTCGGCGGCGCTCGTGGCGGAGGACTTGCGCGCTCGGGGCCTTTTGTGTTCGGCCTTGCGGTTCTTTTCCCTCCTGGAGCTGTCCTCGGATTGGCTCGTGGAGGATGTGGGGACGCTTGGGTCCGTCCCGGGGTCCGGCACCTTGTCCTCGGCTGCGCGTTCGTCGGCTGCCTTGTTGAAGCTGTTCACGCCGATTTTGCAGGATGCGGTTTCCCTGTTCTATGCTTCCCGTCTCGCGTGTCGGCAGGCGGTGCTGGGTTCCTCCGTGGAATCTGCTTGGGCTCTGGCTCTTAGGCGTTCTTCACCTTTTTGTCCTCTCCTGTTTGGGGAGTCGGCCGTGGCGCAGTTTATTCAGGCTGCGTCGGCGGCTTGTCGTCCGATGTCGGAGTTGTTGGTTTTCCGGGGGTCCCGGGGTGGGTCTTCCCGGAAAGGTCGTGCCAGGGCTCAGGGTTCCTCTCGTCGTGGTAGGCCTCTGGTGTCAGGTTTGGGGTTGGCTCCTCCTGCGGACCCTCCCTCGTCTGGTCGGCGCGGTGTTCGCGCTGTGCGGGGTTCTGGGTCTCGTAAGGGTCGCCGGCCCTTTCGCGGTTTGCCCCTTTGACGGGGCGATGGGGGGGCGGCTTGCGCTGTTCGCCCGCGCCTGGTCCCACGATTCGTGGGCCTTTCGGGTCGTGTCTCGCGGCCTGCGGTGGCGTTGGGTGGCCCCTCCCCCCTTTGGGGGGTCGGGGCTGGCGGGGCAGGCTTCTTCCCCTGCGCTCTGTCGAGTCGTCTTGGAGTGGGTACGCTTGGGCGTCGTCGAAACGACGTCGTCCCTCAGATGGGTTTCCCGTCTGTTTCCGGTTCCGAAACGGGACTGCGCGGACCTGCGGTTCATTCTGGACTTGTCCCGTCTGAACCCCTGGGTTCATTGCCCCTCCTTTCGGATGACTACGCTGTCTCAGGTTCGGCTCCTCTTGGAGCCGGGTGCTTGGATGGTGTCCCTGGACCTCCGGGACGCTTATTGGCATGTCCCGATTCATCCGCGGTTCAGGGACTGGCTCGGTTTTGTAGTGGGGCGTCTGAGTTACCGCTTTCGTTGTCTCCCGTTCGGGTTGAACCTGGCACCTCGCGTGTTCACACGCCTTACACGGGTTGTGGTGGCTCGTTTGCGTCTCCTAGGTGTTCGGGTGTTGGCCTACCTCGACGACTGGCTGGTTTGGGCTCCCAGCCAGTCCGCTTGCTTGCTAGCCAGGGATTTGGTTCTTTCCCAGCTCGCCGGGTTCGGGTTCTTGGTGAACTGGAGGAAGTCCCATCTGGTTCCCTCTCAGGTTCGGACTTGGCTGGGTCTCGTGTGGGACTCTCGGACCGCCTCCTTGTCTCTCCCTCCGGAGTCTCTCCTGCGGCTGCGGTCCCGCCTTCGTCTGTTTCTGGAGGGCCCTCGGGTCACCCGGCGGTTGCTCGAGGGGCTGTGCGGGAGCCTGAACTTCGCGATGGTGGTCTACCCGCCGGGTCGGGTTTGGCTTCGACGGCTGTTCTGGTTCCTTCGGGGTTCCCCCTTCCGCCTCTCTCGCGATCGCAGAGTTCGACCCCCGGGGGACTTGCGTCGGTTGCTGCGTCACCGGCTTCCTCTTCGGGTTTTTCGGGGTTCAGTGCCTTGGCGCCTACCCGAGCCCTCGCTCGATGTGTACACGGATGCGTCGTCTCTCGGCTGGGGTTTTGTGACCAGTGCTCACCAGGCCGGCCAGGGGCGTTG